CCGAGCCACAGTCGATGTTTCCAACATCATCCCAGTTTCCATTTCATGCTGCATCTTGTCTTTTCCATTTGATTCTCCAGTAGTCCTGTATGCCCCTGTGAAACCCCTTTAAATGAGCCCTACCCCTAAACCTAAATCCCTAAATCCCTAAACGCTAAAACCCTCACTCCCGAAGCCCCATATGGTAGTTTCCCAAAATTGGGGGACCCCAATATATTATAGTCCTTATTATAGGGACCCCCAAAAAGTACCCCTAATTTTGGGAAACCCCCATATATGCTACTGTCTAAACTCCTAGTATCCCCCTTAATAACCCCCATAATAGTCCCCTATATAATCCCCTATATGACCCCCTTTGAGGAGTTTAGACTACAGTTCATATTATCATCAGGAGCTTCTAGAGATGTCCGGCCTGGGCGTCTCTCCTGCTCTCCGCCACCGCCTCCGCCTCCTCCTCCGCCACGGCCTGGGACTTTGCTGGGCTATACAGGGGTTATATGATTAGGGTTAAAGGGTTTGGGGCGGGGTTTAGGGTTTAAGGGTTTAGGGTTTAGGGGTTTAAGGGTTTAGGGTCTTTGCTTTAGGGGTTTAGGGCGGGTATACAGGGCCCTAGAGAGGCGATATAGGGTTTCTATAGGGCTTATCTAGGGATTATGATAGTTTAGGGATTGTACCGGATTGCTGCTAAGCAGCTTTCTAAGAGTACTGTAGTGAGAAAACACCATTATTTACTACATAGCTATATTTCATTCAGTAACGTAACTTAAAGTTTCTCAGCATCAACCGAGTTTAGCCGTGAACGGTGGAGCTAGGAATTTCGAGTTTTAGGTTGAGGGTGTAAGGTTTCGAGTGTAGGTTGTCAGGCTTCGAGTTCCGGGTTAACCTTCTGTAGCTGCATGACATAAAGCTATCAAAGGGTGCAGCCTTACCAGACCTGTGGGCCAGTTCTGAATGTGCCTCGGCCTACCTAATCAAAACTTAGTTGAGTAGCTCTTTGGCGTTTTAGGGTTCAGGGCAATCATCTAGGGAGTCCAGGAGTCAGGAGGTTTAAGGTTCAGGGGATTTGGGGGGTCCGTGCTGAAGTCCTTTTCTCAGAGGCCCCTGCCGGTAGGTGCTTGGAATATATGGGGTTGTCTCAAAGTGGGCTCCAAAATGAAAACAAGTATTTGCAGACCATCAGGGCTAAGGGTTTAGGGTCTGGATTTGGTAAGGTTTAGGGTTTAGGGTTTAGGGTTCTGGCATGTAGGGGCTGCAGATGAGGGATTTGAGGTTCGATTGTGAGGTCTGGTTGTACTGTGGATACATGTGGAAAGTTAAAATCCACAAGGACCTCTCCGCATCTACCTACAATACAGGCAGCTTCAACCTCATGCACAACGGCAAATCACAGACAATCGTGGGGTCTCGTAGCCCTCATCCCAGTCCTTTCAAAGGTGGTGTACGCCGAGTCCAGAACCAAAATCGTGGAAGACCCAGCTCTCAACTGGGTTGCTGTTACAGAACTTGAGTTACCGCAATAGTGTAGGAGTTTAAACCAAGTTCCTTAACAGCAGCCCAGTCCATGAACCCTGTTTCTATACAAAGAGCAGTATGCCGATGCCCAGGTCTCCGAAGAGCAGTATGCCGATGCTCAGGAAAGAACTCCCAACGTGTAACAGTTTTCTGTCCGAAGAGCATTATGCCGATGCCCAGGCAAGAAATGCCCCCAACTGTAACAGTTTCCGCTTTGTGGTCCATTCCTGCCTTCCCTACTAATGACCCCTAACCCTAAATCCTAGACCTGCTTTACAATTTTGGAGGTTTGAACTCGGGAGGAATGCACCTCAATCTTTTTGGCCTACGCTTGCAGGAGCAGCCTCGCCCAAACTAGCATGGAATGCCCTACAGCTTGTTTTATACGTCCATGGCAATTTGGGAGAGGGCAGAGGTTCAAAACATAAAAGTTTTCTGTGCGAGCACTAGATCAGGCCTTTTCGACGACTCAACAACACTCCGCATGTACCGGCAAAGTGTTATAAATGCAAATCTCAATGAGACAGGTTGAGATAATTTGCTGCCTACCGAAACTCGCACTTGGAAGGTCAGAGGCACTCAGTGAACTGGTTAGCACTGGGACAGCTGGGGTTGTTATATGGCTTGTAGGAGTTATAGGTATAGCTACGAAGCCCCGTCCAACAGTTCAGAACCCAGCCGTTCAACAATCTTTGCCCGCATCTACCGCCCTCAAGCAGTCCTCTGAGTAGGGTAAAAACCCTAAACCCTAATGCGACTCCCTTGAGTCCTTAAGCCCTGAAACCTCAACTGCTGAGGTAGGTAACGCTAGCGCCGCGTCAGCAAAATCCGGAGTACACTCGTGTTTCGCGATATACTTCGCCCACGTGACCCCTATACTATCCCCACGTCTTCCCTGCATAGCCTCTCCCACCTTCCCCTGCCCTAGACCCTGATTTTCAGGATTTAAGTTTCAGTGTTCAGGGGCACCCTAAACCCCAAGCTCCAATCCCCACGCCCTAGCCCATGTAGAGGTTGAATAGTTGGAACAGGCCTGTGGACAAAAGTCAGATTCGATCAAGGTGAAACAGAGTGATTTGGAACAGGCCTTTGGGGTATATTCTCAGCTACTTGGGAATTTATAGGGGCTATGAGGGAAGACGATTCAGCCTACCTTAGGCACCCCGTGACCCCCTATGCAATCCCAAATTTTTGCTTCCACGTTCCTTTCCCTTTTTCTTTCCATGTGGTTCTCCATTCTTGAGGGCTTTTCAGCTTTTAGCACTAAAACCTGAACCCTGTAGCCTAAGCTCCAACACTAGGCATTACTCAGCCTCTTCCAGTAGATCCTTACCACCGTTGTATACCCAAACCCTCAACCCTACACCCTAAATCCTACACCTTAGATCCTACAAACTTAACCCTACACCCGTTGCCGCCGAAGCGGCGGGGAGGCGGCGAACGTCGTCGGCTGCGGCTGCGCGGGCTGCGGCTGCGGCTACGGGACCCTCGGCGCTTGCGGCGGCCACCGCCCACGGCTTCAACCTCAAAGCTTGGTAGGGTTCAGGGTTTGGGTTAAGGGTTCAGGGTTCAGGGTTTGGAGGGCGGTTTAGGGTTTGGGGTTCAGGGTTCAGGGTGTGAGGCTCTAAAAGGATCTAGGTCCATAAGGGTCACATTGGCATAGCGATGATATGGGGAATGTATAAAGGTCAAATAAGAACATGCTGTACTGGGTTCATAGCAGCTTAGGAATGGGCCTGGCGTCTCAAGTAATACGAGGGAATCACATGGAAAAGAAAATAGGCAATGAAATTGAAACCAGAGGTTATGCGGATATACAAGGCCACGCAGGGTATATGTTTGGGTAACACAGGGGATTTTGGTGGCCCCGCTCTAACATCCGCCGACCTTAAGGGGCGTGTTGGATGGTTTCAATCGAAAACCTCACCAGAAACGCGGGGGGGGGGGAGTAGGGGGATACCCCGGCTGCGTGTCCCCAGGCCCCACCTCAAACGGCAGCCGTTTCAGCCGACTCCCACCCGGAGCAGAATCTTTTTTTTGTCGTCCCGGCCCACCCACGCCCCAAGCCCCTGAAACCCCGCCCCAAACACTCCTGCCCAGGTCCCTGCGCACGCGTGTACGTCAGCCGCCATTTGCCGTGCCTGCGACACTCTATGCACATTGTCGTCGCTTGCACGCACACGCCTCCGAACCAGCCATTTGTGCGGCTCCGTATGTTCTGGTCGTTTTACGATGTAATGCCGACACTGCGTGCCGAGGCGGGAACCCGTTTTGCGCCTGTGCGTCCGGCGAAACCCAATACACGCGCATGCCGCGTGCATGCGTCCGCGGCGTGGGCGAAACACTGACGTCTGATCGGTGTGGCGTCCTGTCACAACCGCTCATGCCACGTTGCGACGCTCCACTTGCCGCGTGGCGTGGTCCGTTTGCGTCGTCGCTTTGATACGCCGCGTCCGTCCCTTCTCCGCCTCTGGGGTCGGCGGACTGAGCCTTGAAAGTATTACATGAGAGTCATCGGGTCCTTCTAGTGGTCGGGGGTTTGAATTCAGGCTTTATGGAATCTTGAAAAAAATTTGCCAAGGCTTCAAACCGGGTTCCAGGCTACTGCGAGTTCAGGGTTTCTAGGGTTCTTTCTATTCGGGCGCAAATAACAATGATGTCTGAGGCTGCATAGGATTTCTAGGTCTGAGTATGGGATAGACTTTTCTGGAAGTCTGAATGATCTTGCAACATCCCCGAGTAATTATTCCACACACGTACTGAGACAAGATGCATGCAAGTCCTCGTCCTCAGTCTTCAGCACACCCTAAACCTTAAACCCAAATCCAAAGCCCTAATCCCTAAACCCTAAACCCTAAACCCTAATCCCTAAACCCTAAACCCTAAACCCTAAACCTTAAACCCTAATCCAAAGCCCTAATTCTAAACACTAATCCCAAAGCTGTCCGAAAGCCTGAAGCCCAACGCTCGAAACCTGCAGCCCTGAACCCACGCACCTGGCATTTTAAAGGTTGAACATTTGGTTGCCATTACCTCTTGTTAGGGTCTAGGGTTTAAGGTGAGTAGGTAATGAAGGCATGAAGCAATGGAAATCACCATGTTACCGGGGATCATATGGGGTCCATTCTCTCATTTCTTGCTAGCCAAAGGTAAGTATTGGGCTTTGCATGGTTGGTGGACCAAGTCCTGCATGACCTCATGGACCTAGACCTCAGGAATTAGGGTACTGTAGTGTACTCAGGGTCATGCAGGGTTTTGTCTATCAACACTATCCCACGAAAAATCTAGCGTGACTCACTGGCTCACTGGACAGGTAATATGTCCCAGCCTAAGCCCGGAACCTCAGACCCCAAACCTCAAGCCCTGGAACCTAACATCCAAACCCTACGCCGCACCTATGTAACCCCTGTAAGGCTCCCCCTTACATAATAATCCCCATGCTACTCCCAAATATCATCCCCCATATAACCCGCCTTTAAGGAATTTAGACTCTACTCCTGTATATAACCCCGCTTTAAGCAGTCATAACCCCCCTATGAGGACCTGAAGGTACACCCCTGAGGCCCTCAAACCCGCCGCCCCGAACTCAGCCCCTAAACCCTAAACCCTAAATCCCTAAACCCTAAAACCCTAAACCCTAAAACCCTAAACCCTAAACCCTGAACCCTAAACCCTAAACCCTACACCCTGAACCCCGAACTCAGCCTCGCGTGCGCGTTCTTTGCCCTTGCGATCGTCCCACTCCACCTTGTGCTGGCAAAGTGCCGTGGTCTCCGAACAGTTTAGGGCTTAGGGTTTTAGGCTTTAGGGTTTAGAGTTTTCCGGTTTAGGGTTTTTGGGGTTTTATGGTTTAGGGTTTTTAGGCTTTAGGGTTTAGAGTTTTCCGGTTTAGGGTTTTTGGGGGTTTATGGTTCAGGGTTTTAGGCTTTAGGGTTTAGAGTTTTCCGGTTTAGGGTTTTTGGTGCTTTATGGCTTAGGATTTATGGTTTTAGGGTTTAGGGTTTTAGGGTTTGGGGTTTTAGGGCTTGATGGTTTAGGGTTTTAGGGTTTAGGGTTTGAGTTCCGTCAGGGTGCGCCGGTTAGGGGTTAAGGATAAAGGATTGAACTGTAAGGGCTCAGGAGTAGGCTGCAGGGAAGCTAAGCGGTCAGGGTTAAAGAACAGGGTTCTGCGAGGCTTTTTACGAACCGGCAAGAGTTGAACAGGGCTTTGTAAAGAGAAGCTAATGACGACCAGATTGGGCAAGCATTGAAATTCTTAGTTCTGCAGTCTTTTTTTAGTTTACGCACTGTAAGAACCAAATTCGCATAGATCAATGATACATCATCAGGCTTCCTGGCTCAGAGTGTAGGGCTTGGGGTAAGGTTCAAGGTTCCCGGATAGGTTTGCGTGTTTAGGTCACTCGATGTATTCCTACCTGCAGATTTTGGATGGATTTGTGAAGCTGCTCGAACTGAAAACACACATTGGATGAAGAAAGATTCATGTGCGGACGACCCTCAGCCCTGACCCCGAAGCCCCTAAACCTCCTAAACCCTAAACCCTAAACCCTCAAACCCTAAACCATGAGTGGTTTCATGGACCTTTTAAGGCCACGGAATCCGAAGGGCTGCAGAAGGCTCCAAACCCAAGCAACGGTGCAGGGTTTAGGACTCAAGGTCTAGGATTCAGGGTTTAGGATTTAGGGTTTAGGATTTAGGGGTTTGGGATCTAGGACTAAGGTTTAGAACTTGGGGTTTGGGATGCAGCGTGGAGGATTTCGGGCTTAGATTTTGGATTTAGAGCTTAGGGTTACCCGTTGGAATAATTGAGAATCACGAAATTTAGAGCCGAAACAAGCCATTGCCAACATTTAAGCCCTAAACTCTGGGTCTATCCTTCTGAATTGTAGAAGCAATCCGCAGCTTGAGGTCGCTCAAGCCAGTGCGTCTCTGCACGGCATCTCTACGCTGCCTGCTGGGCTTCACCGCCTACGTTGCCGTTTACGCTGGTTACCCTAAACCCTAAACTTTAAACCCTAAACCCGAAACTCTACACCCCAAATACGCTGGTTGCATGGTCTTGCGCCGCTTCTGCCCGCCACGCGGATAACAGCGCTTACACCAGCTACACTGCTTGGCCTGCTTACATGGGCTTATGCTCTCCCTTAGATTATATAGGGATAATGGAAAAGAAAATGGAAACCCTAGGTCCCTTTGAATGGAGATACAGGGCTATATAGGGGTTATATTGGGATAATGGAGAATCAAATGGAAAAGCACATGGAAAATGAAATGGAAACTAGGGATTACATTGGGGTTATATTGGGATAATGGAAAAGAAAATGGAAACTACTATTTAGGGTTTAGGGTTGAGGGTTTAGGGCTCATACTCCCCCTTAAGTAGAAGATGGACTATGGGGGTTATATTGGGATACTGGAAAAGGAAATGGAAACTACTATTCAGGGTTTAGGGTTGAGGGTTTAGGGCTTATACTCCTCCTTAAGTAGAAGATGGACTATGGCGGTTATATTCGGATAATGGAAAAGGAAATGGAAACTACCATTTAGGGTTTAGGGTTTATAGTGCCCCTGAAGTAGATAGAAGATGGCTTGGGGTATATTATAATAAGATCCCCATGTAACCCATATTCTATCTACTTAAGGGGGACCATACCCCGGTTTACTGTCTACGCTGCTCACGCTGCGATCGTATCAGAGGTTTTGTAGGAGTGTGTCGGCAGGACATCGGCGTATCGGTGTCTTGAAAAGGTAATTCGTGTAGCCGCTCGGTCTCAGCGTATCCGTGCCTCAGAGAGGCTGCCAGTGTATTATTGCGATGTGAGCGTGTCGATGTATCCGCGTGATATGACAAGGTACATGCTTCTTTGTTGCGCCCTGGCAACTTCCCGTTCTATACTGACCATGCGGATGTTCCTATGCGCCAATAAAGACCCTTTCTTAAACCCCGACCTCACATACAGTGTGGGGGCCTAAATACAAGGAATCGGGTTTTGGGGTATGTCAAGCCACAACTAAACACAACACATGCAGGAATGCAAATACTAATTGCCCAAGCCCCACTTCTACATTTACTGCATTCGAAACAGTAAGGAATAATGCCGGCTCAATTCAAACACACACACACACATACACATATACACAGAGCTGCTCCTCTCATCTAATCTTGGACAATGCACAAGACATACCCCAGACCAGAGCCAAACATCCTTAGGCCTGAAACCTCTTGCAGCCAATTTCTGTCCTAGGGGGCTGCGGCCTAGGGTTGGGGGTGTAGGGTTTCAAGTGTAGGGCTTAGGGTTCCAGACAGGACCCTGAAGGACACTTAGAACGTACTTAGAAGGGAACCTAGAGATCACTTAGAGGGCCTGTCCTGCTTGGGGGCTGTTGGGATCTACTTGACTTATCATTCACGAAAGCTCTGGTGAAATTCTCAATACTTTGGGGTAGAGACGCGGGTGCTGTCCTTGAGGTCCAGATCGATCATTGCACGTAAGCTTTCAATCGCAGTATACAAACCCTAAACCCTTATAGCCTCAAGGCTAAGCTTAATTTTGGGGGACCTATTGCTACAGACCACGGGTGTGCTTAAATCTTATGGGGATGGAAAACCTTGAGGACAATCTCCATGTATACCTGCAGTGACAGCATTCGTCAGAAGCCCCGTGTAAGCTTTATACCCCATCCAGCCCTATATTACCCTTCCTTAAAGGACTTAGGGTGTCCATTTCAGTTTGTTGCTTTTGATTCTCTATTATTGCGTAGTATTATCCCGGATCCCTTGACGATTCCCTAAACCTTTTTTCCCCTAAACCCTGAACCCTAAACCCCTACACCCCAAACCCTAAATCCCTAAACCTTAAAAAACCACTGTTCCCTTGAGCTTCCGGCTTCGTAGATCACCTCATCGCCTCAGGTTGACGTCTTGAAACGGTCTAAAGGTTTAGGCTTAAGGGGCTATATAGGGCTTATAGGGATAATGGAAAAGAAGATGGAAGCGACTATTTAGGAGTTTGGGTTTACGGTTTAGTGCAAAGTTTGAAGTCTAGGCTCTGTATTGGGTACTGCCCTCGCCGAGTAAATAGTCTTTAGTAGGGTCAGTGTTCAGAGTTCAGAGCCGTATATATTCATATCATATTTCTTATCTTACTGTTGCTTCGTGGACCAACATCCAGGTTTCGGAGTCTTTGGGCTTAGCGTTTAGGATTCGATGCTGTCATTCTTGGGTGGGGTCTTCCGACACGATGTTTCCTTTGACGGTAGCTTTCTTGTTGGGGGTTACGGGTTACATGAGAAGATCCTAAAAACCTTAAACCCTAAACTCAACCCTAAACCCTAATACCCTAACCCTAAACCCCTGATCCAGCGAGTTGCCACGATCTGGCTATGCCCTTTCTCAGCCTACCAAGGAAAGGTCTCTCTCTTCGACAGCCATATCATATGAGCCATAGTCTAAACTCCTGGTATTCTGGAGCTTAGACTGTAGCTTATATGTCGGTGTTCTGTTGGGGTGTGGTTGTGAGAACACGGTTGAGGTACTATGAGGGTTTCTGCAGATAGCGACCTGATATCTGCGGATAAACTCACGATTCCTTTATTGGGGGAAAATGCCACAAGTGCTCAGTACAATAAGCGCTGACATCCATGTCCAACAATGACCCACTCAGACATGTGACTATAGAGGCTTCTACTGAGGACACATCAGGATCAGTTCGGCAACTCAATGGTGATCCGGATGATGCAAATAAGTATGGTCGACCAATTCTGACAGCAGGTAATGTCCAGCCTTAAAGTATCAAGTCACACGATGACGGTTGCGGACGAGTGTGGTGCCATAATATACTATAATATACAACATACACCCTGAACACTACCAGCTGCCCTATGGGGAATTCATAAGGCTGACCCCCACATCATGAATCCTGCAGACATTAAGTGGTTCATTTAAGTGGTTCAGCTTGTTAAAGGCCTAATAATACATTCCTCAGTAGGTTTGTCAGATACTACACCAGAATAAAAAAGAACTTACATATGATCCAGTTAACAGATACATCTTAAAGCCTCAGCCCCAATACCTGAACTCTGAACCCTCCAACCCTCACAATGAGGCTACGACACTACAACATGAGGGATATGCACGGATTCGGGTTTAGCGCTCATCAAAATTTCTCGTACGAGGGTTCCGGGTAAACGGGGTTTGCGGACAGGGCTTGAGGGTTTGTTCTCCCCAAGACTAAGCTGGAACTCAATGTAGGCCTTTTCAAACTAATGGCAGTCTTTGAGCCCCTGTTGTGCTTCGCTTGGATTCTCCGCAGCCCGCTCGGACCTGAAATCGTGTACAGGATCACCGCCAACTCACACAATCTGGGTTGCTGTTAAGGAACTTAAACTAAGTTACCATAATATAGTAAATAATAGGTATTTAACAGGGTTTCCCCAATATAGTAACTTAAATTAAGTTCCTTAACAGCAACCCAGCAATGTAGTTTCAAGCGGGAAGCCGTGGCTGCGTCGTCTTGCACCGCCGTCATGGCTTAGGGCTCACAAGTGGCTACTGGCCGAACTTTTTGGTCTTAGCAAACGGTTTAGGGTTTTAGGGTTTAGGGTTTAGGGGTATACCCTAAACACTAAATCCTGAAACCTAAGCCCAAAACCTAAGCTCGTTCTCCGTAGCGTAACTCGTCAAAGTCTGTCACACCGTCATAGCTAGGAATCTACAGCGTCAAATGCCGTAAGAATCCTATAAGGGCTATTAAGGTTATTAGGGATAATCGGGTGATTAGGGACATCAGGTTACTCTGGTTTTGGATCTTTCGGGTTTGTTCTCATCCCAGTACACATTCTTGTCGGCACCCTAGTTGCCTCAGCATTGCCCTAAACTAAGCTGGCCTCAGAACACCAAAAATGTCATTTTCAGTTGTTTTTGGGAATATGGTAACCAAAAATGACAAATTATTTTGGAGGCCCTTATAGTAAACCCTAAACCCTTAACCCTTTGCCTCAACCGTGCTGCAACCGTCCTTCTCCACGCCTTGCGCCCACGTGGACAAATGTTGCTGTTAAGGACCTCAAATTAAGTTACTATAACATGGGTATATAGTAAATGATAGGGTTTCCTTCTTACAGTAATTCTTACAACCCAATGAAACATCATCGTCCGCATGTTAGTTTGGGGGATTGTAGTAACCCTACTGTAGGCGATAGACCTTGAAACCTCAACTCTGTACCCTGAAACCCCTAGAAAGGCGAGAACTCTAGACCTAAAACCTCTGATCCCTGAAAGCGAACTAAAGACCTAGCACTATACAAGCCTGAACATGTACCAACTTCACAGAGAGTCCGGGAAAAGCACGAGCAGACATCAATAGGTCCCTCCCCCCATAAGCACGTACTAAATCTCTGGGCAGGTAAACTACGAAGCACGAGTGCCGTTTATAATAGTAAGGGCTCAGAGTTTCGGATATAGTGGTATGGTCTATATACACTCACCAAGATTCTTATGGAGCCCTCAGAACACTCACAAAATACTGCAATGAAGCCCAAACCCTAGGGTATGACCTGGTTGTAACTTGAGTGGGCTAAACCCTGAGCCCTAAACCCTAAACCCTGCACCCTTACCCTAAACCCTGAACCCTAAACCCTGCACCCTTACCCTAAACCCTAAACCCTACACCCTTACCCTAAACCCTAAACCCTGCACCCTTACCCTAAACCCTAAACCCTAAACCCTACACCCTTACCCTAAACCCTAAACCCTGAGCCCTAAAGCCTAAGCCGCGCCAAACCCTTCACTTCTGAGCTGGGCGCCATCTCTGACGCTGCCATCTCCGTCTAATAAGGATGTGACGTGGCAGAAGACATTCTCTCCTGAGCAAAAGCCAACAAAAAGGAATTACCAGTTTTGAGGAGGAGGAGGAGGAGGAGGAGGAGGAGGAGGAGTGAGATGTGGAATATTTGCCAGATCTCTGGTCCCTTTACGGGATCACCAAACTTGAGAGGGTCAAGACAAACCCTCATAAGATCGAGACACATTGATCCAATTTTTGAGAGTTGTCCCTTACCTGGAGGGCCAGGACGACTAAGTAAGTGGAATAAGAATGGGGCTAACAGGGGGGGTTATTTAATTCATGGCTTATAGGGGTTATAAGTATTCTTACTCAGTCCTCCCTAAACCCTAAACCCTCCCGACCCCCTAAGCCCTAAACCATAAGCTTCATTGAGGCAAGGATGGGTTTGTCCCAGCTTCAGGTCGGCTTCAAACATTTGCCAAGTTATAGCGGTTTAGGGTTTAGGGTCCAGGGCACGGAAGTCCACAGATGGATAAGATAGGGATACCCAATAAAGCTCCTCCCAACCAACCCCTACAAGGTTGGTGTATCCACCCGAGAAGCACACGCCCAGGTTCTTTTTGTTAGTTGCAATCTTCCTTGGTACCATGAAAAAACGTAAATCCTTTATCGGCTTAGGATTTAGAGTCTATGGTTTTCGGGGTTAAGAGTTTAACGATTCAGGGTTTGAATTTAGAATTCAGGGCTGAAGGTTCAGGGTTCTATTACTTGTTGTCTTGTTGTGCAGGCTAACCCGAAACTCAACAATCGAAATTCAAACGTCTTAACCTAGGCCCTGAGCCAAACATCTCGGACCAGTACTCCCTTGTCCCAATATTAACCCCCCTAATATAGAATACGGGTTCCCCAGAATTCAAAATTCTGAAATCTGCCCCCAAGACTACTTTTAACAAGGGCCAAGACTAAAGTGAATTATGGCTTGGATCCTCTGAATTACGGGGGGTCCCTGGCACGACTCCTAAGGATGTGGGATCTCCTTGATTTCCAGGATGTCGATTGATTTTGAATGGTTTTCATGAGGGAATCTATATAGAAGCTGAATGCAATTGAAATTGTGGGTCTGATGCGAGTTTAAAGCTCATTTTCAAATTAGGTTGTAAATAGGTTTTGATGAAATTTCATTTGGGCTTAAATGAGGATTCGATTTCTGATTAGATTTAAATCAGATTTCAATAAGATGTTAATGGGTTTGACCATGCTTAAGGATTGATTTTGACTTGGTCTTGTTGAGGCTTTGATTAAAAATTTCGCTCGCATTTGAATTAGTTTTAGTTGCTTTTTTACGAATGTATTCCAAGTTTAATGAGATTTAAACGATTGCTTCTTTGGTTTTAATAGGATTTTACTAGGATCCTACTATATACTCCTAATGTTCGCTTCCACGAAAAATACCTCCACTAATATTGAATACGGGTTCGGGTAAATACATGGGGGGGGGACGTTGAATATCAGGGGGAAAGGATTACTCAAAAACCGGCTCCAAGTGCTTTACCCCACGTCCTAATACCCTAATCCAAAACCTAGCCCCCTAATTATGCAGCCCTTACGGAAATTTCATAT